CATTAGCCTCACTGCTTCAGTGCAGAATTAAAGAAGCAAATTTTAGACCCCAAACATGTGGACTACACCTGGGCTATGAGGAAAACTTTGTAAACTGGATTTTTTTTGGTTGAACCTTACTTTAATAAACATTTTTGTGAACATGTCAGTTTATCCAGCTTGGGTAATTGTTATGTGTAGCCCCTGGGCAGGTGAATCAAGACAAGAACACTGACCAAGACTTGTTTCCACTATAACTCTACTGTTTCCTTCAGGACTAATGAAGAAATTCTACATATCTGTTCATCCATGACATCAAAGAAATCTCTTTCAAAGTAAGACTTAAGAGAACAAGAATACCAGATAATGACAACATAACAGTAATGACAAGATTACACAAATTACATGAAGTAACAACTAATTAAAGGACAATGACCAGATTACAGTCTTTTAAATCAGAACTCACAGAATCAAAATAAAAGCGTGATCTCTCTGAAAGTATGACTCAAGAGAACTAGTGCTAAGAACTAGGTACTATCCTTCTGTCCAGGCTGTAGTACATGAACAAACGAAACTTACCTCTAATGGATATATACACAGGTGACGATAGCATGAAGAGCTCTTTACAAAATCCTTCAAATTAAATTTCAGATATTCCAGAGAGAACTATAGTTGGAAAAGCAGTCTGTCCCTGACACATAAGCACTTAAGATCCGACTAGGCTGACATGACTGAACTCACAGTAGCTCCGAAGCGGAAGATGGCGCGAGTATCAGGCGTCACACACCTCTGCTGAAGCCACACCCAGCTCAAAGAATGGCTGCTGCTTCAGGCCTGGGTGCAGCCACATGACTCACCTAATCACGGGGAGGGTTAAAAGAGTGATGAGAGCAACTGAAAGAGAAAGACAGAACATCTGTCCCATTCATCGATCTTATGAACTAAAGTACTTTAACGTAGACTGTAACAGACAGACACAGAAAGACATAGAAAGTGGATGCAACACACTTTCTACATTTCCTACTACCATATCGGAGCTCATCATTATCTCTTTTAACGTAATATCTTCTTCCCTCATTGTACATCTCGCTGCTCCATCACCACTGGAGAAGAGACAGTGGGAAAATTCCCTGCCATGACGTCAGTGACCAAAATGATCAGTTTTTAGTGTAATCACACTGTTCAACTGCACTGAAAATATTTGAAAACACACAGAAATCATTTCAACACAAGCATTACACCGACTGACTTTTACTGAACCTCTCATATTTCACCATAAAAATCATCTGTAATCACTACAGCATATATGAAATCATCACCAGTACTACTGCTGTTTACCAATCAGGTTTTAACCAGCTAACCACCAAACTATTAACTGGTAAACAAACAACTAAACTAAATTTATTTCATTTATAACGAACAACTGTTGCTATTCCAATAGGCTGGTTTATCATTCAAGTTGAGGAACATCTTTGAATTGAGGTCCCAAGATGCAATGGGTTCCACTAGACAGTCCTGCTGAAAATACCGTTCGGGACCACTTTTCGAGAGGACAACTGCTCTACAACGATGCACCATATTGAAAGCAAACCTTAGCAAGTGTTAAGACAGACATCAATTTCTTCCATGTTTTCCAAAAGAAAGTGTGATGAATGGCGGTATGTATGAATGGCGGTATGTATGAATGGCGGAGTGCGGAAATCATACATGGGAGTGCAAAATTATGGAGGCGACGGTGGTGGACAGCGATGGATATTGTGAGCTCCTAAAGTACACTGAGCCAAAGCTAACCCTGGGCGTAGCATTTATGTTTTGTGTGATCTTAGTCTAATAACGAGTGGTAAATATAACTTTAGAGCTTTAGAATGTAGAAATTTCAGTATCTCATCATTCTACATTCAGTATCTCATCGTTCTTCAATATTTTAGTATTGGTCATCAGAATCGTGAACATAACAGTGTTCAGCCCCTCGGTTTAAACATTGTTAAAAAAAAATTGTTAAACACAGTTTTGCTTATGTCTTGTCCAAACTATCAGAACTACATTTCATGGTCTACAAAAGGAATCTGTAATATGTTGGTGCATTAATACAAAATCCAGTTAATGTGTGCATAATTTTGCATTAGATTTTCAAGCCAGAAATATTCGTTTTATGACTGATATCACGAAAGGTTGTGTCCTTAATTTTTGCATTTGGTGGGAGACTGCAAAAGTGGGCTACACAAACTTAAACATGCAGAATTACTAAAATCTTAATCATATGATTATCATCATAGAATCAGTGCTATGAAATGCTGCGCAGATTAAAAGAACAGATAATGTCTCTCAAAGTCAGGAAAATCTAGATCTAACGTCCAAAACGTCCAAAGATAAAGGCCTAGTCTTGACATAAAAATACATACATCATCATCAATAATGCTAAAAGATAATCGTGAACAAATGCATGACATCAAAAGCAAGACAGCACTAAAAAGGTCAACTGCTTTCCTGAGACAGAAAACCTCCAAGTACCAGTGAGTTATGAGGAGATGTAGTTGCACCATACAAAGGTACTGGAGCTGGCAGTAGTTTCTCTTTTCGACAAATGTTGACTGTCGTTCTAAGCAGATCTCAAGGAGGTCGCTGATCTGCTGACGACCTCAGCTGGCCGGAGCTGAATGCTGTGTCAGGACAGGCTGACCGAGCCACTGGGAAAATCACTGGGATTTCCGCATTAGGCTGAACCGCAGGTCTCCGCTGCACTACCTGTCTGTCAGAACTGCACAGCACAGCAGCACTCGCCGTCTTCTAGAAGTGCAGATTAAGTGTAGTCTGAGGCCTGTAACATGTACGATGTGTCACTGAGCACTAAATGGTGGCTTTAGGATCAGCTCCAGGATAAATGCAATTGCTCGTTGTAGGTTTGGGCCAGTATTCAATCTTTCTGAGTGAAGTGATTTTGATCAATATTGTGCTATTGTCCTGTCTGTGGTTGTCCTACAATTTATAAAAGTCACATTGTTTTTTTTAACTCCTATCAAGAAAGCAATAGCATCACTTGTAGGGTGTAACTATGCATATATTTTCAGGTTGAATATGATTTTTGGGGCCAAGATTGTATATTTTATGAGTTAAACATGTCTCAATTTGAACAAACTCTAATTATTATGAAAGTTTTTGCCACACCAACCTCCAAACAAATTAAAGGCTGAAAAATTGCAGTCTCTAGAATTATAGCGACTTGAAAAAGGCAAGCTCAGTCATTTGAGCGTGGGTAAATGCACAGAATGCTGGGATATGTGAACGGCTGAGGTGGAGTGAACTGCTACAGTGCATCGCTTCTACTTCAGAAAGCCACTTGGCAGAAAGTATGATGATATGAAATGTGTTTCCTACAGATAATGGATGATGTGTGACTTCAAAGTCCGAAGCTCAGCTGTTGCTAAAAGGTGGTAGCTGTAAAGACATATAGCTTCTAGATTCTAACTAGAATCACATGAACACAGTATTAACATTCATTGTCAAAATCCTAATCGAAAGTCCTACTTTAATCTATTTACCAGAATAAGAAGAGCAAGAAATTCTAACATCAGCACTTCTACTCAGAAAATCATATCAAGACTAAAACTCTCCACCCATCCAAGAACCGAGACCCTAATGAGTCTAATGTGTCCGTTCCAGGCTGTCACAGAAACACGTACCTTCATTCAGCATTTGGCTTCTCTTAAAATGAAAAATAACTACGGTGCTCATGTGCCTCCTCTCGTTTGCCAAGTATGTTACTAATAGGGGAACTAGGAAGGGGTTAGGGGAAGGCCCATTTGGGACAGAGCCCAGAGTAAGCTCTGTGATCTGCCTTTCCTAGAATGCATGATGAGTGATGTGCATCATTAGGGCAGGAAGTGACTGATCCAACAGGGCCAAGTGACAGGAGAGAGCTATAGGCTGAAGAAAATACCCATCACACAGCAGACACAGCCGGGCACAGATCGAGAATATGCCCAAAAGTATCCAGACACCCTCCTAATTTAATTAAAATTGTATACTGTATCCATAGAAACGCACTGGAAATGAGATGAAACACTGGATCAGCCACACGTGAGCCTAAGGACACCATGCCCATCCAATACCTTCGGGATGAGTAGTGATTAGTTGTGAACTGATCATCCAACATCAGTACCTGACCTCACTAATGCACTTGTGACAGAACGCAATCCAATCCTCACAGCAACGTTCCAGCATATAGTTTGAAGCCTTCCCAGAAGAGTAGAGGCTGTTACTGCAGGGAGGAGGGGACAAACTCCATATTAACACCCTTGAAGCAATGCTGAATGAGTAGGTGTCTACAAATGTCTGGGCACTGAAGAAAATGAAAAAATATCTTCTTAAAGCTGAAAAACGTAAAGAAACTCTCTCACGCCCTACTTCACTTTCCCCACCTAGTCTCCAATCTCCAAAATGCAAAATCAATGATTTTTACATCCCCTAATCCACATTAAGGCTGCAGTTATGCTGTAGTGTGGCAGAGTGCATCACTGCACAGCTCTCATAGAGCATCTGGACACCTGCCATGGGCACCGGCTACGGCTCCCTGGGTAGTTCACGCAGTCCTGCGCGGATGTATGACCAGTTAGTTCACCTTAACCAATTTTTTAGCCCTAACTCAGCTAAAAGAGACCGTAAAACTGGTCCCAGAGGTCTCGGCTAGCAGCATCACTGTCAGATGGACCATCAAGCCCTCTGCTTATGGAGCACCGGCCGAACCATCCTAGAAAATCAAAGCGACTGGGGTGTAAAAATGACTACAGGGACGATTCCTGAGGCCTGTGAAGGAAAGTGTGCATTAGCTTTCAGGTAAAATGTCACAGCAGTATGACTTGACAGATCACCTGACTAAAAAGCTCTCTGCAGTTTTAAGCCTTTTAAATCACATTTACTTCCCAACCAAGCTGTTATTCTGCCCAGGATTAAGAATCTGGTCCTAAAACCTGTAAATGTGAGGTTTTTAATGACCGTATCTCGACTCAGGCATGAATACTTACGGCTGACTTTCACGTTGCCGAAAGCTGAGGGCTGCGGCACGGGCTTGCAGCTCTCCGCAAAGGAGGTGGTTCTTGGCCGCCCCGACATTTCTCAGCTTTTCTCCCCCCTGGGTTTCTCCACCGACAGCACGTCCAGCCGCTCGTTTCCTTTCCAAAACGATTGACCCTTTTCACTTCTTAGATAACAGGCAATCTTTCTTATCACTGAGCAGAAAAAACCCGCTGTCGACTCCACGCTGTCCTTGTTCGCGATTCTGTGCTGGTCAGCTAAATTTCCTCAACTCGGTCTTTACGGTCAGCGCGACGAATCCGTGCCCTCAAAAAACGGCTACAGTCACTTTAAACAGCTCGCTTAGCTGGAATTGTATAGTCAGTGAACACAAACCGGAGTTGAGCTGACAAGAATAGGTATTAAATGAGAAAACCACCCGGTCTCGTCCAACAAAAAACCGCCTGGACAGTGTTAGCCAGCTAGCTGCTAGCACCTAGCAACAGAAGCGATTTAGCTAAGCTAGCTAGCCCTGCGCTCGTGAAGTGAGATTCAGCAGTAGACAGGCAGATAAACGTTAGAGAAAATCCTAACGGAGTCTCTTTACAGAGCTTATCTCGGTAGCTTCCGGCGTTCAGGTAACTTGGCGAGCCAATCTTCTTCAAACGAAGCTAGCTGCTCCTGCTGAGGCTGAGGGGCTCCACGCTCCGTCCGCTGGCCATGGCGGCTGCCTTATTCAGCTTCACCCGACATTCAAAGCGGATAAAACAGGGGGAAACGCCCGCCGAGGGATAAAACTGTTCGGGGAAGGTTCTCGGCTTGAGCCACCCCATAAACAGAAAAACAGAGCAGTTCGGTTAATGAGGGAGTCCCTGTGTGGACCAAAGTTGTTCCTCCGGGAGTCTTCGACTCGGCCTGACCAGCCGCTGCTCGACTGTACTGCGCTGTAGGGACGTACCGATTCATTTGAATCGGACCTTTTAAATCAATCGAAGTGATTCAAAAGGCCAGATGCTATCACAAAATCTATGTGTAATAATAACGTGACTTTCACATGGGCAAACCCTGAAAATTATATCTAAAATTACCACATTATAAAATTACAATATAACATGCTAAACTCCTCTGATTCATCTTGTAAGGAATATAACCATTCACAAGCTAACCTAAGAAAATTACATCATAAAATGCCACTTTGTAACACATCAACGGCATCTTGGAAGTCAAGAGGCTATTAATGTGTTACAAAGCTTGTATCTTATCCCTGTAAATTGTTACCTCTTTCTGTGAGGCCCACTGCTCTGCACTTTTTAGTGTTTTCCCTGCTCCCAACACACCTGATACAACAAATCAGTTCATTAACCGCCCATTATTCAGTTAATATGGCTGAGCTAAGGCAGGCATAGCACTAACATGTGCAGGACAGTGGGCCTCCTTGACCAGGGCTGAGAAACACTGTGCCAGAGAACCTATCCTCACCGTAAAGGGAGGAGATGAGGAAGCTGAATTTTACTTGGGAATCGGCTATTGAAAATGGACAGTTCGAAAGAATCAGAATCGGTTCGGTGAAATGAATCGAACTGTACCATCACTATGGACTCGACTGCACTGCTTATTTTTTTTTCTTTTAGTTACGAAAAAGGAGTAGAGTCATTTGCGTAAGCGAGCGCAGTAATCGTTAAAGAAACGCTTCTCTGCGTAAGCGAACGCTTACGGGAATCGGGCGTTGTGCACGCGTATTGTGACGTATGTTTGGACGAACCAATGAGAAGCCGAATCTTCGGGAAGTAGGCGGAGACCCCGCGGGAGCCAATGAGAACGAAGCTGTGACGCAGGAATCTACAGCGCGTCCCCCAGTGTCGAGGCGGCGCTGCAGCAAGGGGACGAAAACGGAAAGAGAAAAGAAGAAAAGAAAAAAACTCTGTCTATCTGCACGGACTGTTTCACCTGTGTGTGTTTGTGTGCGTGTCGCTGCTGTCGGAACAAAATCTCGTATCTCAAAAATAACAACTTTACAGGAAAAAAGGAAAAACACACTTTACTTTTATTGGTCCATTCATTGTTTAATTTACACGTTTAATGCCGCGTAAAGGGCAACAGGCATTTTCAAACTATGTCAAAAACTGGAAAACGAAGAAAATGGAGATACGAGGTTTTGTTCCGACAGCAGCATATGTACATACATACACACATATATAATAAAACATAAAATGAAAAATATTATACAATTTAATAAATAAATCAGATCAAAATTAGAGGTAAAACGGCTCCCGACCTCAACCAATCACATCGCGCGCCTTCGACGTCCTTTTTGTCTCATGCTACGTCCTGGCGTACGCGCGGGTTTCCGCTTGTGCTAGTTCAATTCGATTCAGTTTACAGAACCGATTCTATCAAACTGTCCGATTCAATGAGTCGAATGTCTGATTCAACGATTCCTCGATTCCCAAGTCAAAAAGGCTGCAAACGAATAGTTAAAGGGGAATTCCACCGATTTTTCAAAATGTCTGCATAATTAAGCCGTTGAGGTATAAACAAAGTAATTCAGAGCGGTTTGGTGTGAAATGATCTGTTCTACAGAATCTTCCCGAGTCTGAATTGTTTACAGTGGTGGTGATAGGAACCCAACATCTAAAAGCTATGTCACAAAAAGTAATCTGCTGCCTGATGTCTGAAACCTTGCTTTACATCAGTAATGATTTGGCTATACATACATATATATATATATATGTGTGTGTGTGTGTGTGTGTGTATATATATATATATATATATATATATATATATATATAATATATATATATATATATATGCATATCTGTAGATGATGGCCTCACTACATACACTGGCAGACCTGACTAGAATGTGGATCCATATGGCTATGGACACACAGAAGGATAAGAAAAAAAAAGTTTCAACTACTGGGACACAGCCTTAGTTTCTAATCTCGGTGCTCAGATCCAGTGAAACGACACCAGTCACTACAAATATTAATACAAAGCCTTTTACTTTTTCATGCCCATATTTACTAGATTGCACAGTAAACATCACAAAATTTAAACACTAGAAGAGTATTGAAATATCAGTGCTGGTATCAGGATAGAAGCTTTGGTGTTACTTGGTAATGGATCAAAAAGAAAATTAAAGGGGAATTCCACTGATTTCACTTTTCCTTCAGAGTGGTTTGATGTGAAATGGTTCATTGCAAAGAAACTGGTGGTGATGGGAACCAGGGGTTGTCATGTCAACGGATTGACATGGCATTTTAGGCCAAAACTTTAACACACAAACTACCATAAAACAATGCCTCAGACAAGCATTAATAACCACTGCAATAACGTTTTGTGAGAGAGCTTTTAGAAGCATTAAACTTTTCAGACGTCTGGTTCCTATCACGACCACTGTAAACGATTCTGACTCAGTAAGTTTCCCTAGCATCAAACCGTTATGAATGACTTTGTCTACATCTCAGCCATTTAATTATGCAGAGATGAAAAATTGGTGGAGTTCCCCTTTAAAGGTATAGTCTATTCCTTATAGATATTGGACCAGCATAACGTGGGCTTGTGAATCGGTTCGACTGATTCATTGAAAAGAACCGGTTCAAAAGAAACGACTCGGTCACGAGGACTCGCTTAGCAGTTTCCGCGCCCGGGGAGAAAATGGCGGCTGTGCAGGACGGAGGGAGCGAGCTGGAGGGCGAGAAGGAGCCGCAGCCCGAGCTCCTGAGCGATGGCTCCTCGGCGCCGGCCGCGGCTCCGGCCTCCAAGCCGGAGGAACAACAGCAGCAGCAGCAGACCCTGCTGGCCGTGCTGCAGTTCCTCAAGAGGAACAAGCTGATCGAGTCTGTGGACGCGCTGCGGCGGGAGGCGGGACTGGCGGAGGAGCTGGACGAGGCTCCGGGCAGCGAGGCTGGAGGAGGCGGCGGAGGAACCGCGGCAGGGATTGGCGACAGCGGGGACGCTAGCTCTCTCCTCAGCCGTGTGGCTGGAGCCGCCCAGAGCGGAGCAGCCTCGGCGCCGGCTAAAGGTGGGCTTTCTGAACAGAAAACACGAAGGAAATGCGTTCAAAACATCAGGTCAGCTTGGCGCCAGAATGGAGCTGCTGCACCATTTAAGGTGGAACGGGAAAATTCGAACAAGAAGTTAGCGAATAGGAAGCCAACTAAAGCCTTGTTCAGTCCAGGCAGTCCGAGAGGGGGAAAGAAAATGTGTGCTACTGCTTTGATTTATTTTCTGGCAGTTGGCGTGTCTTTTACAGGCGTAAACAAACCGTTCAGTGTTCAGGTTTGGTAGACTGACCACTAACAGAGAAAACACAGCAGGAGAGGTGAACTAAAGGTAACAGTAGTAAACAGTAGCAGCGCGTCAGTCCATTCAGTTAATGTGCAGCTTGGGTGATGCAGTTTATAACATGGGCTAGTTTGACAAAGCAGAGGTTTGAGGATGTCTTAAAGACTAGAGAACCTCTTATGTATTAAAAAAGGGTGGGACTGCACTGGGGGTGGGCGATGTGGCAAAAATATTATACAGTGATACACAGTGTGCATCACAATATTGTTTGACCGTTTCATCAACTGCACTACATTTCAATTACACAGGCCGGTCATGCTGTCTCTGCAATGAAACATGCTGTAAGTCAGTGTTCTTTAAGTACTGACGATATCCATCATATGCTCAGAGAAGCAAAGTGTGACATCATACCAACAAAAATATTGTCGTATTTTCCTCCCAGCAGCCGCATGACGTTCAATATCACAATGGTTTTAAATATATCAAGGTATGGAACAATATTTATGTGATTTGATAAAGTTGAATGAGCCTGTGCTTCTAAAATAAAGTTCTGCTAAAATAAAGTCAAGCCTGATATAGTTTGTTTTGATGCTGTTCTCCTCATAAAAATGAGTCCAGAGAGAATCTTACATTGACATCAACCAGACAGAGACCACTTTTCCAGAAAAATGGTTCAGTATTTATTTAGTTTTGTGTGGTTTGAACTGTAAAAACAGTCTGAAGTGCTCAGCAAATGACACACTTTTCAGTTAACTGTCAGGTCCTGAATACAATGTCTGTAGTGCACAAAATAGAATAAACAAAAACAATTTTATGGAATAGGATGATAAAGCATGTTATCTGACAGTATCACTTAAACTGAAATTGAACTGTAGGGAGCACTAGCTGTGATGCTGATGTTTTTAATGTGCATATTCGGTAGTGAAGCTTGTAAGGGAGTTCCACCATTTTTTGCTTTCTTTTTTTATTTTATGCCTATTTCAATAGTTGAGATGTAAAACTCGTTCAGAGTGGTTTGATTATGAAATTGCTCATTGTCGAAAAACATACAGACTCAGATTTCCTCACAGTGTTGATCACATGAACCAGGGGTCGAGATGTCTATAACACAAATATAGCCATTTTATTTGCCATCCAAAAGACCAGTTAAGATACTCCTGCTTTCTGTGTTTTTACATGGAATGTTGTTAATGGCAAAATACATAAGTGATATATAAGACAGCGTATTCCTAAATGTTTCATGTAATCATTTTCTGTGAGGGAGGTGTTTAGAGGCAGTAGTGCTTCAGAGGTCTGGTTCCTATCACCGTTGCTGTGAACAATTCTGACTTTATAAGTTGGTCTAGAATGAAGCGTTTCACAGCAATTCGCTTTAAAAGGCTTTGTTTACATTTAAATATGCAGAAATGTTAAAAAAAAAAAAATCTAATATCAGTGTATACTTCTCCAGTCTTTTGCCAGATATCTGAGGATAAATAGTTATGAAAGAGTACTGGAAGCTTATGGAAAGTGGTGATATGGAAGAAAATGGTACAGTAGAACAAAATGTAGAAGTACCAACTATAGTCTGACTGTATTGGATTGGATATCAGTGATGCGATGATATCATCTTCCATGGTCAAGCAAGCAAGCCTTTACTAAGTTAGTACTTGAAAATGCTGGAAACGGCCAAAAATGAGCTGTGAAGTGCTGCAGGTTTTGTCAATATGAAATTTCCTCTATCGTCTTGTTTATTGTTTTGTCTGTAGGTGGAGAGGACCAGCCGGACGTCAGCGTCGTTCTTTCAGCGTACAGCCAGCAGGGTGACCCGTCCTTGTATCAGACCTACTACAGCGGGTTGAAGAAGTTCATCGAGTCAGTGCTGGACTGTCACAGGGCCGAGCTGTCACAGCTCTTTTATCCACTCTTTGTGCACATGTACCTGGAGCTGGTCTACAACAACCATGAAAATGAAGCCAAGGCTTTTTTTGAGAAGTAAGTCATGACAAATGCGCAGCTTGGTTCTTGTTCCTGTTCCCGGAAAGGCCCCTGCCACCCATGTTGTAGTCTGTTCCCTGATTAACCTAATTCAGCTCATCAGCACATGAAAAAGCCTCAAATCTCACACAGTCAGGTTCTGAAACTGACCATAGTATTTATTTGTAATCAAGGGGTCTAGATGTCATTCTGCTTCATATGCAGTGTACAGGCTGGTATGGCTAGATCTTCAGACAGTTCGTAATCTTAGCCCAGTATCTTTCAAAGATAGTTGGTTGAATGAAATAGTTTGGTTTAAGATGAAGTTTGCAATATGCAACAAAACAAAATGTGACATAATGCATTTTTACAATAATGATCAATATCGTCAAAAAGCCTATCCATACTTCAAGACATGTGCTGCTATTGTATTTATCTTTGCAGCAGTTTAAAGTAAGTTTACGTGACTTGTGAGCTTCATTAGCCGCGTAGCTCCAGTGCGGAACTACATAAGCAGAATTCAGACACCAAACATGTCTAGGCTGATCAACCACATTTATAAAACAAGAAAAATTATGTAAATTTGATTTTTTTTAAATGAAATTATTGCTTTAATTGGAATCCAGAAACTGAATTAATGCTTAATGCTGCTTGCTCTGTTCAGGTTCAGTGGGGACCAGGAATGTTACTACCAGGACGACTTGCGGGTGCTCTCTGGCCTGACCAAGAAAGAGCATATGAAGGGCAACGAGACGCTGCTGGACTTCCGCACCAGCAAATTTGTGCTGCGCATCTCCCGTGACTCCTACCAGCTGCTGAAGAGGCACCTGCAGGAGCGGCAGAACAACCAGATCTGGAACATCATCCAGGAACATCTCTACATCGATATCTTTGATGGCATGCCACGCAGCAAGAGCCAGATAGACAGCATGTCAGGCAGCCTGGCAGGAGAGGCCAGACGTGAAGCTAATAAGGCCAAGGTGAGGAGGAGTAACTTTCTATTCGTTAAAGAGGGGAATTTAGTCGGCCTGGTTTTACGAGTGGTTCCCAGGCCAGTCTTCAAGGATTTGACAGTGTCATCAGTTACATTGTTTTTGTGTTGAGACCAGCCATTATGTTTGCAAAACCTTTTTTTTTTAATATCGATAATGGCATCTTTTAGCATATTTTAAAAAAGCTATCAGCAATTTATAAAGATGGTTGTGCCTTATCGTAGTATTTAATCACTTGGCTTGACAAGTTTTGAGCTGGGAAAAATATATAGACTAGCACAGAATGTGTAGGAACATCTAAATTGAACATGTTCTATTCTCTCTATATGCACAGTATATTTAACTGGTGTACATTAAAGGTGGCCATATATTGTACGCTTTGTGTTTGTTTTGTGTGTCTTGTTGGATTTTCCGAATGCTTTGCTTTTCATGACTGTACCTGCTTTGAAGCTTCAAGAAGTGCAACCAGTAGTTTTGAGCATGTTTGAGTCTGAATTGTAATTGCTTTTCTTTATTGTTGCTAAGGTCTATACTGACCACAACCGCTGTTTGTGTCGTGGTTACAGGTATTCTACGGGTTGCTGAAGGAACCAGAGATTGAGGTCCCCCTTGATGACGAAGATGAAGAGGCAGAGAATGAAGAGGGTAAACCAAAGAAGAAGAAGCCCAAGAAGGACAACATGGGTTCAAAAAGCAAGAAACAGGATCCTAATGCACCACAGCAAAACAGGTAGGACTGAAATCCTGAGGCTTCACAAGGCAACAAGCCGATGCTTTTGTCAGCCAGCACTGCATGATCTGTGCTAGCTGAAAAGCTTGAACAAATAAATATGGCCATTATTTAGTTTTCCACTTCTTCAATATATAGGATTCCTCTTCCGGAGCTGAAGGACTCTGATAAACTGGATAAAATTATGCACATGAAAGAGGCCACCAAGAAGATTCGGCTAGGTCCGGAAACGTTGCCTTCTATATGCTTCTACACGTTCCTCAATGCTTATCAGGTAGGATCAGCTCAACAGGCAGTTTGTTGATTGTTTTTCTATACTGTACAACCCTGTTTGTTGTTGGGACACTGGTCAAAATGATGGGAAAATATTTCACTTTCAACACTTCAGAAATTGGTCTCCTCAGGTTCTAAATGCTAACAGTATTGTTAAAAGAAGAGGTGATGCAACACAGTGATAAACATGCCCCTGTCCCAACATTTTTGAAATGTGTTGTTGGCATCAAATTCAAAATGAGCATATTTTTCAAAAAACAATAATATTTTATCAGTTTCAGTGTGTGATATGTTGTACTATTTTCAATTACATATAGGGTTTAGCTGATTTGCACATCATTGCATTCTGTTTTATTTACATTTTTTTGGAAACAGGGTTGTATGAAGTATATTGTCCTTATGAGACCGAGTGATGCACCATGGCCTACACAAGATTTTCTGCTGTATCTGAATCCTGCCTATTATATTCAGTGGAATTGCATTGTGTTTGAACTAAGCTAAAAGCCAACTCGACGCTCCTGTGCTCCTCAGGGTCTGACAGCAGTAGACTTCACAGATGACTCCAGCCTGATAGCAGGAGGTTTTGCTGATTCCACAGTGCGCGTGTGGAGCGTCACACCCAAGAAACTTCGCAAAGTCAAATCAGCAGCGGGTAAGCTTGAGCTTTTGGCTCCCAGGGTTATTATAGTTAACTATAACTATTACTAAAATGAAAACTAGCAATGAAAAAATGTGCTTTTTAACTTTAGTAAAAATTAAACCTTTCAAAAACTGTAGAACTAAATCAAAACTATAACGAAAATGCAAAACTAAGGGCATGTCAGTGAGTTCAGCTCTCATGTAGTGCATACAGAAGAGGATGTTGCTGATCACACAGACAAAATTCTCAAAATTTCCTGTTGTGCATATTGTACTGTGTGACATCTGTCATTTTGATTGTGAAACATGCTGAGATCATGCTGTAATTTATCCCCCTCTCTCTCTGTCAGATCTCAGTCTGATAGACAAGGAGTCTGATGATGTGCTGGAAAGGATAATGGACGAGAAAACAGCCAGCGAGTCCAAGATCCTGTACGGTCACAGTGGACCAGTGTATGGCGTCAGCTTCAGTCCTGACAGGTTAGAGATTAAATCCAAAGTAGCTCCCAATTTAGTATCTGTTGAACTATAGAGAGAGAAAAGGCAGTTGGCTCGTGGCCGATGTACCACATTATAGCCATTATACAACCAGTCATAACTAAGTTATCGACGCTTGAAAAGAGAGCCACGTTTCATAACTGTTGGTTTAGATTTCAATCAGAATCTGATTCAGATTTCTTTCTTCAATAGCCGTTGAACACTAGATGAAAAAGGTTCTCTGTAAAGTATCGTTGTTAGCAACCAAGACAGTTAACTTATCTTAGTTTCTTGATGAACATGAAATGAACATTTCTGCAGACTGCAACCTTGAGAGTAAAACGTGTTTTTATGTTTGGTCTTAACATGTGCTTTAAAGCATGAATTGCCAATTCACAACGCGATTAGTGATGTGTTGATTTAATTGATTAGTTAATTGATTAATTGATTAGTGATGTGTTGATTAATGATTAGTGTGTAGCTGCTATGTGATATATAAAAAACTGAAAGCCATATATTCCATTTGAAGCTTCACTATGTCCCTATCTCCTTCACTGTGGTCCAGCATGTCAGCTTGTCTATTTGTTTCACAGGAACTACCTGTTGTCCAGCTCTGAGGATGGCACAGTAAGGCTGTGGAGCTTACAAACATTCACCTGTTTGGTTGGATATAAAGGGCACAACTATCCAGTGTGGGACACTCAGTTTTCTCCATACGGTTACTACTTTGTGTCTGGAGGACATGACAGAGTGGCACGGTGAGGCATGAGACATGGCATTGGCTGAAAAGTCAGCTTGTGATTTAAGCGTATTGTATTTGTCTACCTTAATGGCATAATATAGGCCCTGTGTTGGCATCAACATCTGATCACTTAGATCCATTCGTGGTGGTTGGATCATTATCCAACCAAGAGACAGAGTATTTACACTTGACCGTTAAATAAGAATATGAAGCATTTTGTAAACATTGTTAACATTTTCAAGATGTACCATTCACTACCCAGTCCATACGGTCCATGTATGGAAACTATACTGCAAAAACAGCCCATTTTGAATTTGTTTCTGTGATGTAAGGAGAACTAATTTACATAGATCCACATATTCAGCCTACAGCGGTTTAGCCCCATCCATTCATGTTGAAGTTGTTTGATTCTAAGGGATAAGGAGAGGTTGAAAAAAATAGTCACGTAAAAATTAAATTGTTTTGGTACATAAGACCACACAGATGTTGTAAGTTGGACCTCAAGGGTAAAAACAAGAATAATCTATACAACATTTTGCAGTTGTAGACAGTTTCAGACACTTTAATAGTGTAAGAAAAGACAGTGGTGCATATATATTTGATCACAAACATGGTTACACATGGTATTTTAAATGCATCTGCTCACTACATCCAGATTTGAGATGCAACTTAATGGTAAATGTAAGCAGAGCCATAGATGTGGTGTAGCTGTATGTGATTGGATTGACCAAGTTGTATTACATCATGTTCATTGCTAACTAAATTTATAGATGTCATAGATTAATTGTGGAATATTTTGTTTATTTGTGGAATTTTGATTTACAACTCAAATGTAAAGCTTGTCTGTCATGCTAGCTCTGTTTGGTTTTAAAAACTGATCGCAACACAGTCAGAATAGAGTGTGATGTAAGCCACTTGGTTCCTACGCAGCTTGTGGGCGACTGACCACTACCAGCCGCTGCGCATGTTTGCTGGACATCTCGCTGACATCACCTGCACACGCTTCCACCCCAACTCCAACTACGTGGCCACGGGGTCAGCTGATCGCACCATTCGCCTTTGGGATGTTCTGAATGGGCACTGCGTCCGCATTTTCACAGGCCACAAGGTAGGCTTTTGCGATGCTTTTATTTTAGGTTGGGTACATTTTCATTTGACAATTTTATTATAGTTATCTTAAGAAAAAACAAATGGCTAACAAATTTGTTATTTTACCTGCCAAACACATTTTCTTGTATACTTAGTAATCTTACCTCTTTGTAAGTTTAGCTTCCCACCCACCAAATACATATTCATTTTCTATATTTCTCCACTTCAGGGACCTATTCACTCCCTGGCATTCTCACCCAACGGGAAGTACCTAGCGTCTGGATCGACGGATGGCAGGGTTCTGTTGTGGGACATCGGCCACGGGCTTATGATCGGTGAACTGAAGGGCCACACCGACACAGTCTATGCTCTTAAGTTCAGCAGAGATGGCGAGATTTTAGCTTCAGGTATGTTCTACATCTGTTTCTGTGCCTCAGTCTCACACAAATCTTTCAGAGTAAACCCAGTAACTTGGTGAAAGTAACACTATGTAGTTGATAAACCAAGATCTGTTTGGTATGTAAAGTGTGCTTCTTTAGTTTTGCACTGGAGCTACAAATCTAATGCAGGTAACAAGAGGGAATTAGTTTGTTTTATTTTTTCCAAAAAAGTTAGCAATAGGGATGCAAAATGAGAATCTGCAGATTTTTGCTCTAAACATGTAATCATCAATTAGTCAATTTATTTTTTACTTTGGTCAGTGTTTGTTGGTTTTATGAATTGCAAAATGCATTCAGTTGCTGCTGCTATGATCTGCCAAAATGCCATAGCATAATTATGCATGACAGCAAATGTTCCTGTGTTTCACCTGTTAATTTAGCCTACACACTGGGTTAAAAAGCTAAAAAAAATAGGTCATCTGCTAACTTGGATTTAAATAAATGAAAATATCCCATATTTTATGATGAGTGCTGGTATTAAATTGCCACTGTGGCTAACAGCAAGTCATGGATTTTGGGAACTAGACAGCATGATCGTGTGTCAGCATAACTACCTCCATTAGCTTCCAATCATTAACAATTTTTAAAAATCTTTATTAAATATGTATAAAATTGCTGGTTTAAGATCAGATTTGTAAGTTGTCTGATTGCTGGTTTAGATGGTCTTCTTTTCCCCTAATTTATTCATGTTTAGCAAGCTTAAAATTCCCCACAAGGGGACACATTTAGCAGTCAGCTTTTGATGCCTCATCAGAGCAGTATTTGCATCAATGACACTGTGTCCTTGTTAATGTGTCATATTAAGGAAGATGAGCTGAAGGAATTCTAGATCAGTGCTCTAATATCTAAACCACGTTTTTTAAAACATTTCTTTCCCCATCACAGGCTCCATGGACAATACAGTACGGTTGTGGGACGTTTTCAAGGCTTTTGATGAAGTAGAAACAGATGACTTTACTGCAGCTACAGGCCACATTCATTTACCTGACAACTCACAGGAGTTATTACTGGGAACATACCTCACAAAAGCCACACCAGTCATCCATCTTCACTTCACCAGACGCAACCTGCTACTGGCTGCCGGTTCATACAACTCGCAGTGATGATGCTGGCGTGGATCAGTTATGTGGACTCAATAACTTCCCTGTAATGCTGCATGCATATGATGCATGAGTCAAAGGATCTGCACTGTTCAGCTACACCTTGTGTTACTTAATGAGATCTTCAAATGATAAGACTAGATGGGCTCCTTCATCGTTTAAGCTCTACTCAACCCAGAATGAAAATTGAGTTAAGTAATCTTAATCTTAGTTTGACTAACTTAATATTTTATTTGTTTACACATCACTGCCATGCAGGGTTTTTTCCTTCAGCCCCCCATTCTGTACAGTCTTTTATAATGGTGTCCAATGTGTAAATAAAACATGTTTTCTATATGATGGAGTTTTGTGCAAGTTTTATTCTTAACATGGTGAAACTCAAGAGAAGACAACCAGTGGAATTATAAGACATCCTGCAAAAGAGTGAAAGAGAAAAACAAGGTCCAAAAATTACTATCCAAATGTTAACGTAATATACATTATAATGCGTTACTGGGTTTTAAGACACCTGAATGAGTGACTTACTATAAATCAGCTCGCTGTCACAGCCTTCTGCTTCTTGGGCTTCAGCTTGAAGAAGAGGATAATGGCAGCAATGCTGGCATATGTGGCCAGCACGCACTGAGGGTGACAGAAAAAGGGTCCAGTAAAGACCAAGAACACATTTCAAACCATTTTATTCACTGTCAATCACATGGAAAATAGGGCTTTTTTAAACATATCATGGAGATTCTGTAAAGGACAGTTAAAACATTACTTACATTCCTCCTTCCTGTGATGGTGTACGAATTGAAGTACTTGGCAATACCAGTGAACTGGTGCTGTGTTCCAGCGTCGTGTCCAGCCATGGTTAATTAAATTAGTCCCTGTTGAGACATTGATGTAGTTCAGATGAAAATGCTATTTTTGGCAGATTTTTCTCATACAGAAACAACGAAAGGGTCAAATGTTTAGAACATTTAAGGTGAATTCCACCATTTTTTCTAAATTTCTTCCTCATTCAATCGTTGCAATGTAAACAAAGCCATTCAGTGCAGTCTGATATGAAACGGCCCACAGTAAAGAAACTGACTCTTACTGATTTCTTTACAGAAACCAGGGGTCATGATGTCCACAATGCAAATATAGGCATTTGTTTTGCTACACAAAACAATCAGTGAACCTATATGTTCCAAGTTTTTATATTTTATATGGAGCTGAAAAAATAGAGCTAAATCTGGGAAGAAAAAAAAAGATAAAAACTTTTCTGTGAGCACTATTTTGTCTTATAACGCCCTTCATGCACTTCTCTGACATTTAGTTTTTTTTCCCTTTAATATACATTCTAGGCCAAAATCTTCTCTTAAAAGTACAATAAAACATTTTTAACCATTTAATCTAACAGCCGTCCGTGAGTGAGCTTTTAGAGGCATTAAACTCTTCAGATGTCTGGTTCCTATCACCACCGCTGTGAGCAATTTTGAAGTTTCTCTAAAATTGTACAGAAATTTCTGAGCAGAAAAAAACGTGAATGAGTTTGTTTATCTTAACAAATAAATCATACAAATAAAAAAAGAAAAACTGGTGTAATGTAAAACTTTTAAAACTAATGTGGCCAAAACGAATGATCTTATTAGTAAGATCCTGTTTTCCCATAACTGACCCCTTTCATTCATTTTGGCAACTTTTGTGTTTTTTGATTGAGATCACAATCCTATCAAATGGATCTTTTAATGGCAATGAAAGACTAGACACATTAGGATTGATACTTATCAGTAAGCAGAGTAGTTTTCTGCGCTAGGCGTCTGTCTTTCACGTCCTAATTAACGAAGATAAATGACTTGCAGGGCAGGTAACTGTGATACTGGACAGACGGTCACCTCCAGCTCCAGATCAGCACGACAGCAGGTCTCCACCATGTAAAGCTGGCTAGGTTTGCTATGCTAGCTAGGTTAGTTATGTCAGCCAAAAGGCCAGGTATCGCCTCAGCAGTTTATCTTGTTAAAATACAGCAGACTTGTTAATTAAGACACAAAGTAGCTCAGAGTCTAAACAAAATCTGCACACAGAGGAGCCGAGAACGAGACTAACGATAACCCAGTCCTTCTGAAAGCTAGCTAACTTAGCTAGCACGGCTAATGAGCCCGTGCCCTACCTTTGAGATACGTTAATAAAGCGCGAACTTTCACTCTAAAGTTACATTTCATACACGTTCACGTTATAAAACCAAGGAAAACACACTTGAATCATATTCTGTAACAGTAAAAACGCTCCTTACCGCCCAAACTCAAGCTCTAGCCCTGCTCCTGCTGAACTGGTTGCCCTTCAAGCCGCAGCTTCTACAGGAGGAGAGCGTTGGAATGGAAGTCCCGCCTACTTCGAGGGCTGCAGATGCTGATTGGTCCGTTTCGGAGTCAGTTGCTCCAAAACGAAAGGTTAATTGGTTCACTCTAATGTCAATCAACTGGATTCCCTTCTCCAATTGGCCCATTCTGCTCTCTCCTGCATTAACTGTTAAAGCACGCCTAGGGATTTGTCTTTCCGGGTCGCGAACATGGCACGCTTCGAGAGGAACATGTGAGTTTCTCTGTATGAAAGTGGCCGAAACAGAACAACTGACCCCTCATCGGTTTGTAGAATGTAAGTGGATCGTAAGACGCGATCGTAAGTTTTTTCTCCTTTGATGTCAGGTACCGGTAGTCTGGGTGGTGAAGGTGTTGGCTCTGCTGTGGAGCTGTTTTGTAAAGCACGCTGGATTCTCGCCTCAGTACTCGGTGCAGCACAGTTCATAGTTTCTGCTCAGTTGTGTTGGTTTTATCCCTTTTCTTTCACTAATCTGGAAAAATAGGCAGTGCTGTTGTTAAAGGGGAGGTCCACCGTTATTTTAAATGTCTGCATAGTTCATTTATTCAAGTGTAAACAAAGCCATGTGGAGTGGTTAATTGTAGAGAAGACTACTGACTCTCTTTACTGAGAATAAACCAGAAGTCACAGTGTCTACAGTGTAACAGTGTAAACACAGTAATTTTGTTTACTGTGCAAAATGACCAGTGATCCTAAACGTCTTCTGAGGTTTTGTGTGTAATATAGATAATAGTCATTTCCTCAGAGTTTTTCTATGTGATGTAGATAATGGTAATTTCTTTTGGGTACTGTTTTGCCTCACAACTAGAGTTGGGCGATATGGCAAACTGTAATATCACAATACTTCAGGATGTTTTTTTACGATACACGATGTATCACTGTATTTATTTTTTCTGATCTGATAAGCTGATTCTGATCTGATAAGCTAGAACAGTAGTGCCATATTTTAAAAATACTATCAAAATCTTATATTAAAACTAATTATGAAACAGTGTTTCAGACACAAAGTGACCCATTTTTAAACATTTAATGTAAATGTAAACAGATTTTGTGAGATATGGGGCCATTAGGACCATTAAACCGTTCAGACGTCTGGTTCATATCTCTACCACCGTGAGCAGTTCTGACTCTGTGTTTCTCTGTGTGAGCATCTCACATCAAATCACTCTAAATGATAAAATTACGCACAAATCAGCAAAATTCCTCTTTAACCTGTTCTGGCATTGTTATTACGGTGATGCTCTGTGCTAATGTTTCAGTTTTGCCTTGTATTCCTCTCAGATTTGTGTTGAATCATGACATCAGTGGAGGAGGATTTTCCTCGTGGTGGCTCGGCCAAAAAGGCCTCCGAATCAAAGGCTGCGAAGCCTCCTGTGGAAGTAGACAATCTTTTTGAGGTAAGTGATGGTGGTGGTGAAATACTTGGCATTTATTTTTAGTTTTCTTTTGCCAAGAATGCATTCTTGCACTAACCAAAGTTATGTTTTTCCCTTGAATGGCGGCGTTTCACTCAAAGACACTGTGAATGATGCCTACTTTTTTATTACAGTTACTAAGGGTGTAACAATATCAAAACTGTATTGAAAAATAATAACAGTGTATCTACCCTTCGTTTGCCATCTTTTGTGGAAGCTACCTTCAAACAGTGGGAGTGTGTGCTGTTTCAGGACAGATTTGTTACAGGATTGTATCCGATATCCATTCCAGCATTTTCTGCTGGCCTGATATCTGGTACTGGATCAGTGCCATTGCTAATCAAGGCAATTTTAAGATGTAAAATATCGGAAATCAAAACAAATCTTGACCTCGTTCACAAAATGTATTGTTTCGTTGTGCCCTTAACAGTCAACAATCAATGTTATGCGCGTCTTTCAGACTCAAGAACCAGCAGTGAAAAAGAAGAGAACGGGAGCCAACAAACAGGAGGATGGGAAGGCAGCCAAAAAGCAGAAGAGAGAAGGTGGTGGTCTGAAGCTAAACACTCTCACCAATGTGGATATCCTTCATTTGAGGGTAAGAGATGACAAAGCATTTTTCTTTCCTTAACAAACTTTATTCTTTTGACACAGATCTGGCCCTGTAAGGGCTTCTGTTCCAGGCAGAGATTAAGGTTCTGTTTCAAATCAAGCCCTAGTTCCAGTTACTGAATACAGAACAGACGCGAGTGACCAGTCAACCCTTTCTGGAATATCTGTGATGCAACACATAAACAAATTAAACTACATACTTGACTTCAGTAGCATAGCAATGAGCCAACTGCTAACTGGCTTGCAAATGTATGGCAAGTGGCCTGATGGCTAACAAAAAGTTTACAGCTTGTAATACATTTCGACATTTACAACACCAACATTCAGAATGTAAGAATATGTACAAACATTGATGTGAATCTCGGGTGTGAGTGTTCTAGTGCACTAGGATCACTTGTACATTTGGACACCAGTAAGAATGACTTAATCCCTGCTTAGTTTGCAACATATGGAACAGAGTTGCTTTAAGACGCATTCAGAGTCTAGTATTGAAAGGTCATTTCAATTATCCTTCGTCTGGACTTGAAGAACTATCTAACCCCAAAATGGCGAAGTTGTTAATAATAAGTAAATGATAAAGATGGTAGTAAAAGTGAATAACGAGCTATTATTAAATAAACATTTATTGTTTTATTTATTGTTGTCTGGGTTGGGAACTTCAGAGTGGAGCAGTTGTTTAAATGTTGGCCCTGTTGTTGATAGTTCAATCCCAGGCGATGCTACAACCATCCTTGGTGGTAGTCCAAGTCCAACATAATTAGTCTCACTATATCTGGTTGTAGGATGGTTCCTCCCTCTCCCACCCCTCACTCTGCGTGATGCTAGCCAATGCAGCCATCTGATAGCTGATGTAACAGACTTTCCAGTTGGTGTTCTCCTCCAAGCATGTTGAGCTGTACAATGATGTTGCGTTGGCAGCAGTTTGAAAAGATGGTATGTGTGTGCTGTTATGAGTCACCCTGTAAAGCCTGAAAAGTCAGAGGCGTCGGGTCAGATGTCACAGGAGTTTTTGGGCCACGTTATACATCTTTACATATGTCACATGCACAGACCCAAAACGAACTTCTGGCTTGATGTTTAGATCTCAATGGCCATAGGTTTTATTACACACTTCTGTAACCTAAGAATAGCTCAACCAGTTTGCACTGAAATCCCTGTAGTTACTGAATAATATGCCTTAGTATGTAATAAGCCTGAGAGTTAAACTAAAAATTATCCTACAGTTGTCTCACCGCAGATCTTTTTTCCCTTTTTTTAGAATCTGAAAGTGGGTACTTTAATGCTTGGCTGTGTGAAGGAAGTTTCAGACATTGAGTTTGTACTGGGTCTTCCAAATGGCCTCAAAGGCTTCCTGCCCATCTCCAGCATCTGCGAGGCCTACAGCAAGGCCCTCAGTGAGAAACTAGACTCTGGCGGTTATATAGAGGTAAGTAGCGCCAGCATTTGTAGACATTCTGAATGAATAGTGTTGCGCATTGTGCAAGGCTGAGGAACAGGAACATGTGTAGTCTTGGAATATCTCAATATATGTAGCTTTGTCTGCAGTATCTTCCTATGAACATCTTTAAACAGTAACAATCTTCCACTTATTATCCAGTGTCAAATGCATTGGTCATTCAAACATACAGTAATTACTTACAGTATGCAGAGTGATGCAGCAAGCAAGTTCTACAGACATCCTTTTTTTGGATTCATTCATAAAGCACATGATATCTTTGTTTACCCTCGACAGCTTCTTGCTTGAAATTAGCTGCCTGCTCATATGGTGCATAGAAAAAATAGGCTCAACGTCCATTTTCTACATGCTGTGTCACTTCTGTGCTTCTGTAGGCTGTATGAATGCTTTAGTCTCTTAAAGAGCTTATGTCCTACATTTTTCTTGTGTGTTATTTATTTATTTCTTTATTTGTTTTATCCTCTGAGGTCCGCTTATTACATTTGTGTGGTTTCAGTTATAATTCATCTTTACATGTTGAATTCCCAGCCTTTGTTTATTACTTGGTTTAGAATTAAACAGGCTATTTTTGACTGTGATATGCGATATGTATCTGATTGGCTATCTTGCATTGTGCTTGAGACTGTAACACTTCGTATAACATCATTGTGAATGGGGAAGCTAATTTGCTGAGGGCTGAATAGGCGAATGTATGTAAATGCATTGGTTTTCGTGATGTCATAGAAACAATAAAATTCATTCATTCATTCGTGTACAGGATGACTCTCCCTCCCACCTCCTCGTCCCGGGCCAGCTGGTCAGATGCGTGGTGTCATCTTTGGACTCGTCCAGAGAGGGCTTTGTCTCTCTCAAAGTATCCATCAATCCTAAAGATGTAAACAAGGAGCTCAGCTCCAGCTCTCTGAAAGCAGGCATGGTAAGTATATCAAGTATATCACAGCTATTCGTCGTTCCTTTATTTTGTTTTTTGGGTTTTAGTAGTGGTGTCAAAATAATGCATTAACGAGATAAACTGTCAACAGCACTAATTTTTTTAACCTTAACACATTTTCTTAGTTTGACCCTTCAAACTATTTATAAGCTTGTACCCTGAGAACCAGCTGATCGTGCAATGTATAGTTTTTGTTTTTTTAAGTGCGATTTTGTTATGACTCCACAGCTGTAGTCCTCTCTTCAGATACAGAGTATAAATCACAAGTTCTCTTGACAAACCCAAAGTTTGTTCCAGCTGCTGTCACGCTATGAGCTTGTTTATCACTGAAGTACATCCAGTCCACAAGCAAAACTCACTGCTGATGTGGCAGTTCTGTAAATCAGCAGACTTGCAGGAAAGCTTATGGCAGAGAAACTTACAAGAGTGATAGCAAATAGCTGTAATTCCCTTTGACGCACAACACATCATCAAACTGTCAGCAAGATGCTGTTTTCCCAGAGGAGCTGAAATATCTGGAGACTGTTGCTTTCATTTGTCAGTGATGAAATCTGGAAACTGCATTCAGCTTGTTTTCATGTTCACA